TTACAGGACCGCAGAGCTGGAAGAGAACATGGTCGATCACATCGTGATAGCCTCAAGGAGAGGGTAATAGAGAAACACATCATGGAACCGGGCGACAGTAGTGGATATGAAAGCAGCATCCAAACTGACAGGTCTTTGTTGAGGAAGCCAGAAACCGACGAAGAAAAGTAGCCTCACAATCACGCTCGAAGTTCAAAGGACACCCATAATATTTGTTTTATTGCTAGGCTATGTAAATATCTTCATTTCGACTTTGGATTTAAGTTTCAATATTGATGATCATTGAAGTTTTTGTAGCAGATTGTGTTCACTGGCTATGCATATAAGTTATGATGATTCAGATGGGTGTTTCACTTTCAAGCCTATCAATCCTTTTTTTTTTTTTTTGTGGAGAGAAAAAAGGGTTTGAATTGGCAACGTTTAAATTATAGTTTAATCAAACATATTTTTTATTCAAACATTTCGTAAAACTTATTATTCATACATTTTGTACTGTTTACAAGTACCTTACCAAACAAGCATTATCTTTGTATACGGTGGCTTCCTCAAATAAGTAATTGCTCATAATAATTGTGTCTCCCACAGACATGCCGTGGCAGTAGTTTTCGGATGAATAGTTGGTCAAACTGGGTCGTTTTCATTGGGCGGCTAAATTTGAACATCAACAAAATGAGGATTTTGGCAAAATGTAATGAACCAATCACTACATAAATCCAATTTGAAGTAACAGTTTCTATGTTTCGACAATATCCACATTTATTAATACAATGTACTTTTTGTGGGGACCAAAAGAAATAATGAATTAGGCTGGTCCTACAACTAACATGCATAAGCCATCAAAGGGGAGAAAGAGTACAGGTGGTAAGGCTAGCTGTCCTAACTAGCGACATTAAGGAGTACTAGTCACAGATAATTGTGGACAAAATTAAAGATGTATGGACCCCCTCTACTGAATATTGATATGAAGTATTGGGAAATCTATGTGAAATACTGTAGAATTTGGAGATAGATGAGCCACATTTGTCAGACCGTATGTTATACGAAGGGCACCTCATTGATTATGACAAAGCATAGGCCTTCCCGTGAAGCAAGTGCCTGGTCATCTCCCAGCAAGAAGCATCCCCCAACTTTCTTAGCAAAAGCAACCACCAGTCATCGAATGACCACTAATATTTGTGTTCAAGAACATATATACTTGCAGGTTGAAAATTTAGTCTCATCTAGTCATAAAGCGAAAACTTTTCCTATTGATGAATCAAAATTGTCTACTTGATTAGCTACAAATGCATTTTGACAAGTATTCGTCTGACTGATAGAGAGTTACAAATTATGTAACGTCATAATCTAGCTATGAAAACTTTAGTAGGAAGCAGGGGCGGACCCAAACCATTTTTACTGTGAGGTCAAAAATTAAGGACGCTCGAGT